ATTGAAAAAAGTTATAAAAATCAATTAGGATTAGAATTTAGTCTTGAAAGGGGAATGTTCTTCTAAGGCTTTTGGAAAAAAAATAGACTGTCTTTGTGAACTTTGGGTAGATAATGATTTGTTAAACAAGACACAAAGCAATAATGTTCATAAAAGTCACTATTGAGAGAATGTCAAGGGACTGTAGTTTGGATCTGGAACCTTCCTCAGGCTTGCACTGGGAGTTGGGGGAACCTTTGAGAGGTGGGACCTGGTGGGAGGCTTCAGTACCTGGAGGGCATGCCTTTGGGAGGGGATCCTGGGATGCTTCTCTCTCTCTTTGCTTCCTGGCCCATGAGGTGAGTAGCTTTACTCCCTACCCTAACGTGTTGTCTTGCCACATTCTCAAAACAGCAAGGGCAACTGATCATGAACTGAAACCTCTGAGAGTGTGAGCCAAGAGAAACCTTCCTCCTTTTAAGTAGGCATGTCAGGTATTTGTTATAGTAATGAAACACTGACTACCATGCAAGACAAACAGATGACCAAAGAAAGATATTCATCACCCATGCATTAAATGGCTCATATAAAAAATTTAAAAACTACAAATGAAAAGGCAACCAGGCTAGTTCAATAATTGGCTAAGATTTAGGTGATACTTCATTGAAGGAAGATATCACAAGGGGTGGTAAGAATTCAAAAATATTTCTATGAAATTAAAAACAGAAGAAGCCAGGCCCCAGTGGCTGCCTGTAATCCTAGCTGCTCAGGAGGCAGCAATAAAGAGGATCATGGTTTGAAGCCAGGCCTGGCAAATAGTTTGCTAGACGCTTTCTCAAAAATGCTTCCCCCACCCCCCCAAAAGAAGGGAGAGGAAAGTGGCTCAAGTGGTAGAGCTTGCCTAGCAACTGTGAAACACTGAGTTCAAATACCAGTACAACAACAACAAAAAAAGAATGAAATATCAGACTAGTTGTACAGTGATTGAAAAGAATGACAAGGTCACATTCCATCAAGGCTAACATAGCCAATGTGTGAAACAGGGATACAACTGCTCTGGAGAGCCCTGTAGTAAATTTATTACTAGTAAGCATGTATTTTCCTTGCAATCTAGACCTGATATTTTAGTCAGATAACCAAGATCAGTGAGCACGTGTACACCAAAAGACGTGTGCAAGAATGTTCATCATCCAACTAAGTGACAGGTGGTAGTCATACGGGGAACTGTGCATAGCACTAAGGAATAGACTGCTCCGTGCACCAACATGGGCACACCTCGCACACATTCTATTGGATGGGAGAAACACAAGATTAAATATAACACGCTACGTGCTTGCAGTGATATGATGCGTAACAGCAGGTAATCTGGTTTCTGGTCAGAAGATGGAATAGTGGTTACCTGTCACTACTGGTCTCAGAGATGATCCAGCCCCTGGGGAGAGGGACAAGGAAATGTTCTCCATGTGGATGACATACACACGCTACCTGTGCGTCTATGGTATACATCATGTTTTAAAAATCATTGAGGCATGCTTAAAGATTGGTACATTTTCTTGTATGTGTCTTATTCCTCGATAATATTTTCATATTAAAGTTGAGGAGGGAAATACGCTTTTCTTTTTAAAAATAAAAGCACAAAGCCCCATAATACACTTCAGAAGTATAACTTTGGGAGTGGGAGGGAGTTTATTGCAAACAGATAGGAGCAGCTGATGCAGCTGTGCAGGTCTGAGCACCGCTGGCGGGCTCCTGCAGCAGGTGGAGCTCGGCTCTGGAAAGCTGCCGAGAGATATTTCTCCGAGCGGCCGCCAGAGGACGCCCTAGCCACGGCAGCCGCTTAGCAGCCTCAGGTTGCTACAGCCTCCTGCCCAGGTGCAGCGCAGGCCACCAGCCAGCCCAGGCCTTCCCCAAGCAGTGGCACGAAAGGCTTGAGCACGGTCCAAATGCATAGAAGTGCAGTGCTTCGGTTTTGTAGCTCGATCCCTATCCCTTACTTTTCATTTTCCCCTCTTTTCAACCTGTGAGCTACGGGGAAGGGAATGTAAATCCTGCTGGCGCAAGTGGAACTGTCAACTCAGATACAGAAGATGGAGAGGCTGAGGCAGGAGGGTGCGTATGAGTATCGCGCATGCTCTGTAAGGCATCGCGCGCTTTCCTGTCCTCCGTCCCTCCCCCGCCGGTCAGGCTGGGCAGAAGAGGAAAATCAAAGGCTGTAGCTGGTCCTTTGAAGATTCTTGACCTTGAGTTTTACTTTCACACTTAGCTCAGAAAGCTTGCTTTGAATTTTCTGTCTTTGACTCGTTTAGCTTAAAACATTTTTCTCCCCCCACAAACTGCACCATGGAGCTTTACAAGGAAAAACATTCGGGTTTATCAAGCGGAACAATCCTGCCCCAAAATGGAGCAAAACATTGCGAATCCCGAAGAGGTCAGGTCACACTCATTCCTAGTAATAGTACATGAGCAAGAAAGGAAAAGAATAAACAACGTAAGGGTGTAAAAGAGGTATCACATTTTCTTTTCCATTGATTGGATTGTCATAAATACATGCATAAAGAATTTCAGAACACTTCTCATTACTTCTCATTACACTGATAGATTTCAAAACCACTTAAGTACCATTCTGTCTGCATGGTAAACAAATTGTAAGCATTCCTACTCATGCTCAGAAAACAAAAGCAACGGTAAGGAGTTTACAACCTTACTCGAAGAACCAAGCAATGAATGTCTACTGAGTTTCTGCTCAGGTAGGCAGTTACCATGGTGATTAAGGCTGAGATGTTGGGGCTGACTGCCTGGGTTTTAACGCTCAGGGTTCAGTCCACTGGCTGTGTGATTTCGGAGAAGGGATGTAACCTCTCCGTACTTTTTCTTCATCCCTAAGCTGGGAACAACGTAGTGAGAGTATGAGCTAATTACCCCAGCCCAGCCCTTGGCTCTCTTATAGCATCGGACACACACACACACACACACACACACACACACACACACCCCTATGAAATGCAGGCAGCTTTCTGTTCTGTGTCTCACATTAAACTAACTTTGAATGGAGAAAAGTTTTCTTAGAAAATTGTTTGGTGGGGAACTGGTGGCTCATGCCTGTAATCCTAGCTACTCAGGAGGCAGACATTAGGAGGACCGCAGTTTGAAGCCAACCCAGGCAAAAGTTCGGGAGACCTTATCTCGAAAAAATGCCACCACAAAAAAGGGCTGGTGAAGTGACTCCAGATCCACCAAAAAAAAAAAAAATAGTGTACTGAACAGACTTTTTCCTTATTCCCTGAACACTACAACTATTTGCATAGCTATTACACTGTATTAGATACTAAAAGTCATTTAGAGATGTGAGAGTTTATATTGCATAACCTAATCTATTTTATGTAAGGGGCTTGGAGCACCTTCAGATCTTGGTATCCCCAGGGCCCTGGTGCCCATCAACTGAATGGACATTAAGAGATGGATGATATGGTTTTGTATAAACAAAGGACAAGTCATCATCTAACTGATTTCTAAAGCACTTAAATTGTGTGGTACAGAAAACTCGAGATTAGGGCAGAGTATGTTAAAGGCTTATGTTTCCTGAAGCTTGAAGAAGTACTACAAGTTTTAGCTGTGGAAGACTACGGGAACATTTAGTGTCCTCACAGAAGATGAGTTCTGGGTTGAATTTGTGCATTTAAGTAGGAGAGGAAGGTGGTAGAGGAGGGTGTCAAAAGGACCCCTGGAAAGAGGGAAGCTGGATGAGCCCAGGACTTCACAGAAAAGGAAGGTGACAAGCTTCTTCCTAGGGAGGTGACAGCCCTTAAAAACAAACAAGAAACAACAACCACAATATGGTTGCCATCAACAAATGGCACTAAACTCCATGTCCATGTTCGGATTGGTGAATCCAGAGACAAGGAAGAGAATATCAGGGAACGTTAACTTGCTACTCTATATTTTATGAGCAGAACTATTGGACAATATTGTGATTTCTTTGGTAAATAGTCACGTCCTGCCACGATTCCATGCATAGTCATTGAAAATAAATAATTTCTAAGAACCATTTTCTTTTGGGAATAGAAAAGCCAAGTTCCTAGCTTGTGTGTTGATATTGAAGTATTTCCGAGTGATGATTATTACAAATGAAAACAAAGACGCGATTTGCGGACTTTGGAAGGAGAAAATTGTCCAGTGAAGAGAACTTCGTGGCTTGACTAAAAGTCCTGTTTCTCACTCCGGATTTTTTTATTTCCTCCTTTTCACTTCTACTGTTTATTGACATATTTTAGTCTCTTCCGGGAGAAAGGTCTACATCAGGGGGATGCTTTGCTCCAACCCTCCCCAGGAAGCCACCTTCCCAAGTGCAGTGCAGAATCCTAGCGCAGTTCAGACGACTTCCCAGCAGTGTGCACACCGCCTGGTCCCTTTGCAGTGGCGTCCCCAGATGCAGGCGCACTGGAAGGGGCGGGCCCCAGGATCCGGGGCCTGGAGAAGTACCCTGGGTTGAAGTGACAGTTGGCGTGCGGGCTCCCCGCGGGATCCCCAGGTCCCCTCCCCTGACGAGTCCCGCCCCCTTCCCGGCCTCAAACTCCGAGTCCATTCAAGCCTCGCCGTCCTCACTCTGCGCGTCGCCAAGCATGTAATTGGGGAAACTCCTCCCCGCGGGGACCGCCTCGGAGGCGCCACCGGAGGAGCGGCGACCTCGCTGCCCCACCTTCCATCGCTGCGGCCGCATCTGCGCGGAGCTGGCCGAGGGGCTGCGGGGCCAGGGCGTCCTCCGTGCACCTGCGCCCGCCACCCTGCCGCGCCGACAGGGTGACATTCGGCATCGCGGGGCGCCAACCCGGCGACACCCCGCGTGCGCCCCGCGGAGCCGCGCAGTTCCCGGCACCTCGGGCCGTCGGGGCCGCGGCCGGAGCCAGAGGCGACACCTGTCCCGCGTAGCACCGCAGCCTAGGCAGCGAGGCAGGGACAGCTGGAGGAGCCAAGGCCCGCGCTCCAGAGGAAGCCTGGGACCCGCGCCCGCGCTCCAGCGCACCATGGCCCCGAAGCTGCTGCTCCTGCTCTGCCTGTTCTCCGGCTTGCACGCACGGTAAGTGGCGCGGGGCCCCGCATTCTCCCGAGGCCTGGCGCGGGGCGGCTGGGGGGCGCTGTCTGCCGGCTCCGGGCCCCCGTGCTCCCGCCGTCGGTGAGGCTGCTGCACTCTTGGAGGAAGGAGACGGGGCTCTCCGCGCCCCACCTGCCTCCTCTCCCTGGCAAGGCAAGGCCGTTTGCAACCAGCAACGTAGGGACTCTCAGGTGAATCGGCTGTCCAGTGGATTTTAGGATGTGGTGGTTTTAAGGGGATTTGAAAACCAAAATTTTGGGGCAGTGGCCCTATTTCTCTCTTATCCACCCATTTTCCCCATCCCAAATACTCCAAGGACTCTTTCTTTCTCTCTCTCTCTCTCTCTCTCTCTCTCTCTCTCTCACACACACACACACACACACACACACACACACTGAGCGACACTCTATCCATACTGTCACTCTGAAAATTTCCAGGACCCAGGCACCTGGTTTCTTTGCTGCCCAACTAAGAAGAGCCAATGAATGGGATGTGGGCAAGTGGAGAGGGACTGGATCAGGTGGGCAGGGAGATCTCTGTTTACCTGAAAAAGACTCCCTTCCAAGGTACCCCCCGCCCCCACCTCACACTCCTGCCCCTTAAAGCAAACAGGCAGGTTGATATTGATTTGAGAGCTTCAGACCGGTTATATGAGAAGTTATGTCACCATCAATACCCTTAACCTTCCTTCCAGAACACCGTGTTGCTAAACGAGCTTAAAAACTCCAGAGGAGAGATGGAAAGGGCTCAAGAGAACAGAAGGGCAGTGGGACCAGAAGGGTTAAAGCCTGTTGCTGGAGACACAACTGGAGATTCTGGGATGGTTTAATTCTGTCTCCCTGGCTGGATCTCTGGCTAGAGCTTGCAGACTACCCTGTGCTTTAGAAATCAGAGCAGTTCCCTGGGGCTTCTCTACCCCCACCCTAGAACTCTCAGCGCATCCCTGTTTTCAAAGCACACTTGTTTTTGACACTTCTTGATTTCCTGGATCTGAAAGAGAATTAGAGACATCCATCCTTAAGGCCACAAGCTCAAACAGCTGTCAGAATGTTGGGTTTTCGTTCATATTTGTGAAATATCAAGGAATAAGAAGACAAAAAAATATTACAAACTGTGGAGGGGTCCCCAAATCTCAGTCCATCTGACAAAAGTGCCAACCTCACCCCCAACCACTGGTCTTTGCTGAGTTGAAAAGGAGAAAGGCCAACTCCATTGGAGACAGACAACTCCCTCAAGGAGCAGAGGCAGCGCTACTTGAACCTCTCAGTGGAAGTTTCTTCCTGCCTAAGGATGGCTGGTGATTTTTTATGTTGGTTGTGTTAGAGGTTACCTTTGTTTAGAGGCTGACAACATCAGACACAACATGGAGGCTGGACTCACATCTGCAGGATATTTATTTCTTTTGCTACCAACTCAAAGAAGTGTGACCTGCAATTCAGGGTCAGCCAGTTACCTGTTCTGATCTTCATGTACTTAACATGCTAGGAGGAAAAAGGGTGGTTTTCTTCTCTAGTTCTGGGTGCTCAGTGGGAAGATGTTTTAGTACCTGACTTCTGACCTGAAGCAGTCAGGTTCCTGGGGATTTCCAAATCTACATAAACTCTTGTGGGATTCATCATCCTTTCTTTTGGCCAAGGCAAATGTACTGATTTTAGTATGTTCTCTCTGGTTTGCCAGTCTTGGTCATCACAATTGCGTGTCAGCTGAAGAAAATCCAAATTGTATGCTAATTTTATTGCTGCATGGCTCTCCTTTGAAGGAGTGTTTGTTCTATGAATGGGTTTTACAGACATGTAAAATAATCCAGTGCCTAGTGTCAGCTTTCAAAACTGTTATTAGTTCTGAGAGGGGGATTCATTTGCATTCTGAATGCTTTTCTGATGCTGAAGTTCCCTGGAAAAGTTTCTGACAGTTGTGCTCTGTAAGGGGGAGGGAGGGTGGGGACTTCTCCACCCTGACACACATGGGTGAGCTGATTCCACAGTCAAAACACACTAAATCACATGTAAACTTTCATGATGCCTTGAAGATGTTTAATTGTTTTCTGAGCTTCTTTTGATAATGTTTCGAAATACTCTTGACTTTGTCTCTATCCTTCTGGGTGAAGAGAAAGTATAAGGCATGATAATAATGCCTGAAGGCATTTGTTTGACAATGGTAATACATGAGTGATTTATTTTGAAGAAAAAGCTAATTGCAGTGATGTTATTTAGGATTCAGCATTCCAAGTAACAAAGCTCATAAAATTATATATAACCCACTTAGAATGTAAAGAAAAGCTCTATTTTATTCACCTTCTAGTGGATCCTCCAAGGTGACATTTGGTTTTCCCTACAGCATAGATTTTCAGTGGGGCTGGTGGTCTGACAATGCAAGGTGTCTACTTCATCTTCATGATTGGGAGAAGCCTAGCCTTTGCAGTTTAGGAGCCAACAGCATCTTCGACCCTTGTGCCTATGGTTCATGCCGTCTAGTTACAGAGTTGAGGGTCTGGCTATGCCCCCAAAAGGAGTGGGAAAGAACTCGCCTGCTTCCCTCCACAGCCCTTCTCTCCCACCTCCCCTGGCCACTCAGGAAGAAGCTTAGCAGTTTCAAGAAAGACCTCTCACCACCACTAGAGGGAGAATGAGGCTCATTGTAATACCTGTAATGTATTTTCAGAAACTCAGGCTGTGTATGTAGAGATTGGTGAGAAGTTGGTGTGTGCTTGTGACCACTGGGGCAACAGAAGATAAGAGAACTGGGGACAATGGTCTAGTTCTGTAGTGGTGGTTAGGGAGAGGCCAGGAAAAGGGGACATCAGGGGAAGAGGAGAAAGGAGAGGGAGAATCGGATAGCACAAGGAGAGAGGAAGGCATGGTGTCCGAGTTGCAAGGTGTCTTGAGGGGAGCAACCCCTCCTTCCCTTGTCCTCACACCTTTGACTTGCTAGGTCTTCTGGGCAGTGCTTTGGCTCCCAGTTACCCAAATGCTTCAAGTTCCTCTTTGTTTTGTTTTGCTTTTGCAAGATGATAAAATTAACATTTTTCATACTTCTCCTGATAACAGACTATTTTAAAGTAACATTTAAAATTCTGTAACATCATTTGTAGAAATTCACTTTTACAAGAAATGAAATGCGGCATATACTCCTTGTTGAATATGTGCCCAATATTATAAGTTGTTATCTGTGGTGAATGTTGAGTGTGAATCAAAATGCAAGGCAATTAATATTTCCCATGGATGGTTTATTTTGACCATCTAGCCAGTAGGGATTCAAGAATAGAATTGCAGTTAAGATCAGTCTAAGAAAAACTTACCTGGAAAAGTGATTCTGCAGGACAAAATCTCACGTACATGCATACAATTGGCATTTCATACCCTGGCTTCTGCATTTGCAAGTTCAACTACAGATTTAAAATATTGGAAAAAATTGTGCCAGACATGCAGGAATTTTTCCTTGTCATTGTTCCGTAGATGATACAATGTAGCAACTATTTACATACTATTTACATTGTACTGGGTATAAGCCACCTAGAGATGATTTATGTATGTGTGAAAGTTATGCAAATACTATGCCATTCATTGTACATGAGGGACTTGAATATCCTCAGATTTTGGTATGTGCTGAGGTCCTGGAACTAATCCGTAATGAATGAGAGACAGCTGTGTATACATTCAGATTTAGACTCGTGACTGTGAAGTAAGACTATAATAATAGTCTATTGTTGTGTCTTGTTAACACTCATAAAAGAGTCACATATGTAATATATGACATAAGCACAGAGATGTATACATCCTATTTCAGAAGAATGATGAAGTAGAAGTACTGCACTTGAAAATACTTATACTTTTCATTCATTTCATGTTCATTATAGATGATTTTGACAATCCTAAAAAACAACTCAGGACACTGATGTCCCAGAGCACCAATGCCATCACACGACATTGACATTTCGGTCCCTGTCTGTGAATCTGAACAGAAATGAGCTCAGAGTCAGGACAAATCTACCTTAATGCAGTTTTCTACTCTGCTGCTTCTTCTCTTCTGTGAAAAAAAAGGATCAAGGCATGCACACTGACAACCAGAAAGGGGGTAGGAGCTCTCCTGGGCTCAGTGGCAGCCACCTGCAAATCAGTGCTATTTCCAGCAGAAAGCACTTTTCCAGTCCATATGACTTCACTCATTGAGGGAACGTGCTTGTCACCTGAGGCCTCCCCATCCAACAACTCCTGTTAGGGTGTTATGGTGTATGGTCCAGCAGAGGAGGCTGTCCTGGTCAGCTCTGCACAAAACAAGCTCAGACGTGCCTAAGCATTCATTGGGATCCACGTAATAAGACTCTAGAATGTTGAAATCATATTGGAAAGATTTTAATTCTTAATGTCTGTGCTAGCCTGTTCTGTAAGAGATGAATGAGTTTCTGTTGACTGAGGCATGTAAAATTGACAGGGGATTTTCACCAATCACCATACAATGCCTCTGCTGGCTGTCTTGTCCCCAAAGAGTGCTACTGGCAAAGCAGGCCACCTTATAACATGCCTGTCTTCACCCAAGTGTCGGACTCTAAGAAAAGCATAGTCAGACCCATCTATTTTCTTTGTTTTATAAATTAGGATATATTTGTTGTACACGGGGGATTCATTGTGACAATTCCAAATAGGCTTATATTGGAATTGTTTAGATCACCCCCACCATCTCTCTCCCTTGACCCCCTCCTTGTCCATTTCAAGCAATTGTAAGAGGTTTCATTATTGTATTTCATATAGATATATGAAGTCCGTCAACCATATTCCCTCACCTTAATCTTCTTTGTTCAACCTCCCTCCTCCCACAAGTACCCCCCAACACACTGTACTAATTTTACAGTCCTGTCTTTCATTATTATTTCTAAGTCAATATTTAGAAGGGTTTCTCAATGTATCCCTACTATGATTATGCTTTACTTTGATCCACTCAACCCCTTCCATATTCATCCTTAACCATTCCTCCCACCCCATCCCCTTTTCGACAGCTTTCAGCACATATCCTTATGTTTTCTATCTTCACAGATGTTATGTTTTACAATATTGTTGATGCTCTTATCATTCTCATTTCCCTCATTTATTATTTTCATTTCTCTCCTTCCCCAAGTTCCACAGAGTAGCTTCACTGTTACAAACACGTTCTACATATGGGTTTGTATGTGATCATGTTTGTTTTTGTGTATAGGTTTATCTTTTGGGTCTGTCTTCCACATATGAGAGAAAACAGGTAGTCTTTGCCTTTTTGATCCTGGCTAACTTCACTTAACATGATGTCCTCCAATTTCATCCATTTACCGTCAAACCACATGGTGTCCTTCTTCCTTATGGCTGAATAAAATTTCATTTTTTATCTATCTATCTATCTGTCAATCTATATCTGTCACATTTTCTTGATCCATTCATCAGTTGTAAGGCATCTGTTGTTGCCATAACTTGGCTATTATAACTAATGCTGCGACAAACATTGATGTATAGGTGTCTCTACTGTATCCTATTTCTTTGGGTAGATGCCCAGGTGTGGTATTACTGGATCATATGGCAGTTCTAGATCTAGCTTTTTAAAGAATCTCCATCCTGCTTTCCATAGTGGTTGCACTAATTTGCATTCCCACCAGCAGTGTATAAGGGTTCCTGTTTCACCATGTCCTCACCAGCATTTGCTGTTGTTGCTTTTGCCCTTGAATATGGCCATTCTAATTGGGATGAGATGAAATCTAAGTGTTGTTTTGATTTGTATCTTTTATAGCCAGGGAAGTTAAACCTTTCTTCATGCATTTGCTGGCCATTTGCAACTCTTCCTTTGAGAATTCCCTACTTAATTCCTGTGCCCATTTCTTTATTGGGATGTTGATTCTTTGGGGGTTGAGTTTTTTGAGTTCCCTGTAGATTCTGGATATTAGTCCCTTATTGGATGAACAGCTAGCAATGATTTTTTTCCCACTCTGTGGGCTGTCTCTTGAGTCTGGTGATGGTTTGCTTTGCTGTGCAGAAGCTTTTTAGTTTGATGCAGTCCTATTTGTTCATTCTTTCTCTTAGATGCTGAACCATTTGAGTTCTACTTAGGAAATCATTCCCTATGCCTATATGTTTCAGTGTATTTCCTACTTCTTCCTGTAGTTTCAAATTTCAGTCTTTCTAATAAGGTCTTTGGTCTACTTTGAGTTGATTTTGATGCAGAATGAGAGACAGGGATGGAGTTTTGGTCTTCTATACATGGAGACCCAGTTTTCCTGACATTTGTTGAAGAAGCTGCCTTTTCTCCATCATGTGTTTTGGACTCCTTTGTTGAAGATCGGTTGGCTATAGCTTCACAGGTTTATGTCCTCAGACCCATCTATTTTTAATGAATCCGTTGTGCCAAAGCTGTTCCCATGACTTCAACTAAAATAAGGTCTTGGCTGTAGGTGCAGGAAACCACATACTAGAGAAAACCATGCCCAATGTCTGGCAGGTTTGTGCCTTGATCTTGGAAATTCTCAGTGTGCAGCTAAGGACAGCTCATTGCCTGCTGGCTGCCCTGGCATTGAGTTATCTACCAGAATGTCTGTGGTTTAACTTAGACAGGGAATGATCTTGTAACATGTAATGAAAGCATTATGACATGTTAGTAGCAGTTGCATTTTTCAGATTGAATTCTTACTATGTTGTGTTTCATTTTATTTTTTTCATTTTAGAGAGGTAACACGTATGCTTGAACTAAGAATACTAGTCCAATTCTTTGTTCCCATTTCAGTGGAATTTGGAAAGGACAAGGGCACTTACTGGGGACATTGCTGCAACTTACATGTCACATTTTGTGTCATAACTACAGGTCCAGAAAGGTGGAAGAAGATGAATATGAAGATTCTTCATCAAACCAAAAGTGGGTCTTGGCTCCAAAATCCCAAGACACTGATGTGACTCTTATTCTCAACAAGTTGCTAAGAGAATATGATAAAAAGCTGAGACCAGATATTGGAAGTAAGTAGTGTTCATTTTTCAATTTTTTTCCTTTTGGTGGTACTATGCTTTGAACTCAGGGCCTCACACTTGCTAACACTCTACCACTTGAACCACATCTCCAGCCCTTTTGCTTTAGTTATTTTTTGGTTAGGGTCTTGTGTCTTTCGTTCAGGCCAGCTCGGACTGCGGTCCTTCTGTTTATGCCTCCCACATAGCTGGATCACAAACACATGCCACCACACTCAGCTTATTGGTTGAGATGGGGTCTTGATAATTTTTCCCCCCTGGGCTGGCCTCAAACTATGATCTTCCTGATCTCTGCCTCTTGAGTGGGATTATAGGTGTGAGCCACTGAATCCGAACTAAAGTTTTTATTTCTAAGTGAGTATAAGTTCACAAAGCCTTGCTAATGTAGTGTACAGAGGTCTCCCGTATTCATCAAACAATGCATAGCTGCAATGTGTTAGTAAAGGCAGATTAGCCGTGGTTTGATGTATGTGTGGGGTTCTGTGTCATTTTGTCACATGTAGGTTTGTATGATGACCACTGCCATAAGATCCAGAAATAGTTTATAACCACAAAATCTCCTCTTGCCATCTGTTTGTAGTCACATACACTTCTCTCCCCCAAATTCCTCACCTCACCCAGTATTTTTTTTTTTTTTGGTTTTAACTCAAAGCCCTGTGCACTTGCTAATTTTTGAGCCATGCCCCCAGCCCTTTTTAGCTTTATTTGTTTTTTGGATAGGGCTCATGTTTTTTCTCTGGACCGGCCTCAGGATGCAGTCCTCCTTCCTGTACCTCTCATGTACCTGGGACTGTTGGTGCATGCCACTTTGCCCGGCTTGTTGGTTGAGATGAGGTACTACTAACCTTTTACCCAGGCTGACCTTGAACTACAGTTATGCTCTCTATCTTCTAAGTAGCTGGAATTACAGATATGTATAATTCCACACCAAAGTACTGTGTCTTACAGTACTTTGTTCATTCTTATAGCTGTGTAATCGTCCGTGGTGTGGTCCTACAGTTTACTTGTGTGTTCACCTATTGAGGAGCATTTGGTTGTGTCAGTTTTTGTCTGTTACAGATAAAATGATGAGGTACACTGCATACGGGTTTCTGTATAGGTATAAGATTTTATTCTCCTGATAACTGCCAGGAGTATGAATGCCAGGTCATATGATGAATATGTGTTTAGTTTTTTTCAATTTCTATTTTCAAATTTAAATTTTTAACTGAAGCAAAAGACATAAAAATTGTGCATATTTATGGGATGCTATATGATGTTTTGATACATGTAAATATTGCATGATGTTTAGATCAGGATAAACTCTCCTCAAACATTTATCATTTCTTTACAGTGAAAATATTAAAACTTTCTTCTAGGTTTTTTGAAATATACAGTACTTTATCTCTATTGATCATCACCATCCTGTGCAAAGAAGCACACCAAAACTTTTTATTCCTACTGAATTACATCTAGGTATCCTTTGATCATCCTTCCATTTCTGTCTCCCTGTGCTCTCCTTGGCCTCTGGTACCTACCATTCTACTCTCTACTCTACTCTCAAGGTCTTGTCAAACTCTTTTCTTTATAAAGTGGCCATACCATTATCTGTTGCCACAAGCAAATATCTGAAATTCCCAGTTTCCCTCTGCCCTCACCAGCACTGTTTTTGTTTTTGTTTTTTTAGCTGCTCTAAGAGTTGTGTATTTAAGAAGTCAGTATCCACCATGGTCTTAATTTGCATTTCCCTAATTGATAGTGATCCTGCACTCACTTTATGTTCTTATTTCTCATCAGTACATCCTCTTCCTCCAGAGGTCTCTTCATGCCATTTTAAAAGGTGAATTATTTGGTTTTACTTTATTTTTTTACTACTGGGTAGTGAGGATACTCTGTATTGTAGATTGGAGCCTGTCAGATCTGTAGCCTGTCTTTTCATCTTGTCAACAAGATCTTTCACAGAGGAAAAGGTTTTAATATTGATGAAGTCCAACTTATTGACTTTCCTTTTATGGAGGATGCTTTTGGAATAATGTCTAAGAATTCTACATTAAGCTCTAGATCCTGAGGATTTTCTTCTAAAAGTTTTAAAATTTATGTTTTACATCTTAAGTTATTTTAAGTTAATTTTATAAAAATCAAGAAGTGAGGTTTTGAAGTGATTTTTTTCAGTATCCATGGATCTCCAATTACATCAGCAACATTTGTTGAAAAGACTACCCTTCCTCTATTGAACTGTGTTTGTGCAATTGTCAAAAATCAGTTGATTAGTGTGAACTATATTTCTGGGTTCTCTATTTTGTTTTGTTTATCTGGGTGTCTTATCACTGGGTCAATACCTACAGTGGGTTTTTTTCTTTTTGTTTTGTTCTTTGTTTTTATGGTGCTTGGGCTCAACCCAGGCCTCACACATGCTAAGCAAGGGCTCTACTACCAAGTACACTCCCAGGCTCCTACTCACAGTTTTGATTACTACAGCTATATAAAGCCTTGAAAATGGATAGAGTAATTCAACGTTTTCATTCCTCTTTGCCCATACTATTTTAACTGTTGTAGTTCTTTGTTTTTCCATATGAATTTTAGAATACTCTTGTCTCTTTCTACAGAAAGAAAACAGTGTTGGGACTTTGGTGGGAATTGTGTAAAGTCTGCATATCAGTATGGAAAGAACTGGACATCCTTGTTACTTTGAGTCTTCTAATCCATGAACATAAAATTCATTGTTTAGATTTCAGTGGTTAACAGTGATTAACATAGGAGTCCTTAAAGCAATTTGTTAGATTAATACCAAAGTATTTAATTTTTTGGAGTGATTGTAAATGGCACTGCATCCTCAAATTTTATTTTCTCTGTGTTCATTGCTAGCATACAGAAGTGCAATTGGTTTTTGTGTATAGATGTTATGTGCTCTGACTAATTTAGACATTTTATTTGTTTTAGGAGAATTTTTTTCTGGTAGGTTCCTTGACATTTTCTGTGTACACCATCATGGCATCTGCAAATGATCTCATGGTTTTATTTTTCTTGTTTTACTTCCTTTCCTTGCCGATTGCACTGGCTAGAGCCCCTGACACTGTGGTGAATAGCAGTGGTGGGAGTGGACACTGTGGCTTTGTTCCAGGCCAAAGTGTTCAGTCTTTTATAATATGATGGCAGCTGGAGATGTTTTGTATATGTTCTCTATCCAGTTCAGAAATCCCCTTCAATCCTTACTTTTACAAGAGACTTTCTTTCAAAAACCATGGATGAGTCTGGAATTTTGCCAAATGCTTTCACTGCATCCAGTTGACATGGTTATGTTTTTTTTTTCTTTCTTCAGCTTGTTTATATGGTGGATTATATTGTTAAAATTTTCAATCTATTAAACCAGTATTACATCCTTAGAATGACTTCTACTTGGTCATACTTGTTAATAACACTCTTTAAAAAATTCATTTTATATGTTGCTGAATTCAATTTGCTAATACTATGTTAAGGGTTTTTGTGTCTCTATTCACAAGAACCATTGGTCTACAGTTTTCTTTGTTCTTTTTTAAAAATTTACTGTCTTTGGTGTGGTGTCAGGTAATACCAACTTCATGAAACTAGTTGGGAAGTGTTCCCTCATCTTCTGGTTCCTGGAATAGAGTGTGAATTGTGTAAGAGTTTGTATTATACTTTTTAAACATTTGATAGAATTCTCCAGCAACACCCTCTGGGAGAAGAGATTTCTTTTCTGGGAGTTTTTTCATTACAAATTAATTTTCTTAATAAGGTTAGTATAGTGGTCAACTTTATGGTAGGTAAGTGATGATAATTTGTGCTTTATTTCAAGTGGTCCGTTTATTTCAAGTGGTCTGCTTATGCATGTAGAACTGTTCATATTCCCTTGCAATTTTTGAAATGTCTGCAGGGCCCATAATAACATCTCTGTTTTATTGCTGATATTGGGGCTTTGTTTCATCTTCTTTTTTCTTTATTAGTCTTGCTAGAGGTTTCTTACATTGACCTTCTCAAAGGACCAACTTTTTGTTTCATTATTTTTCTCTGTTCCTGTTTCATTAAAGTTTGGTCTCTATTATTTCCTTTCTTCTGCTTGCTTTGGGCTTATTTTAGTTTTCTCCTTCTTGAAGTGGAACTTTTGGTTCTTGACTTGAAATTATTCTTTTATTATGTCAGCATTTGGTGCTCTAAAATGGCCCTCTTGGCACCATTTTAACTTCATCCCACAAATTTTGATATATTATGTGTTAATTTTAATTTAGTTCAATGAATGTTTTTATTTCCCTTAAGATCTTTAATCTATGGATTATGTGGAAGTGTGTTATTAGTTTTGAAGTGTTTAGAAATTATCCTGTTACTGATTTCTAGTTGGATTCCACTGTGGCCAGAGAATATACTCTACCTGTTCAATTCTTTACAATTTGTTAATGTTTGATTTATGACCCAGGAAATGGTCAATCTTGATGAAATGTTCCAGGGGCACTTGGAAAGAATATGCATTCTGCTGCTGTTGGATGGATTGGATTCTGTTGTTTGATATTGTTGTTCAGTTCTATATCCTTGCTTATTTTCTGTCTAGCTTTCTATTGGTTGTTTTGATAAACTCATGATTGATGGACTAAAAAATTGATTCTGTTCCAAGATAAGAGTGGCATGTTTGTCCATGAGAAGTGGTGCCTACAACTGCAGTGCAGGCCTGCTCTGTGTTCCCAGGGGCAGTGAGGATGTGTGGATGGTGGCAGGCCTGGTCTTTCACAGGATACCCCAGGCTGGGCTTTGTTTCATCATTCCTGTGTTATTTTGTTTCAAGTAGAGCCCAGAAGCTTGTCACCCTTCATTAGCCACACTGTACCTCAAGTTTTCCAAGCCTACAACTCCAATTCATCCATATCAGGACCTAGAACTACTCTGGTTCCAATAGACATAGAATTTCAAAATTTTTATTGTTTGTGTAGGGAGAGTTTAAAGGTATAATTCAGTGTGATACAGGAAAAGCCATGTCAACCTTTTGCGTCCCAGTGTCCTCTTCT